TTTTTTGGTGTCAAATCATTTCTAAGAATGATGAAAACGTATTTTAACTAGCTTGTAGTTTGTTTTAAATTATGCTTCCAGAGACCTAATTTAAAGAATTTGGGTCGCAGCTTAAAATAGAGACGCGGCTCAAATATTATTGGTTCCGCTTTAAATTGTATTGGAATGTTTCAAGTTTTAAGCCGGCGCTCAATTGAAACCGGTTTTTGGCGGATTATAGACGCGGCTGACATTCCTGAAATTCGGACTTTTGTCGTCATTAAAAGAACTATAATTGTATTTTCTAACAACATGGAAACCACGATTGAAAGTAATCTAATTTGAAGAGAAATAAATGGATATTTAAAATTTTTTTTGTCAGCCAAAGCTTTTCAGGTTATGGAGGGTCTTGTAAAAATTACACTAACAGTCCCTTTAAAATATCATTAATAGTGGGCAACCCTGTAAATATCTTTAAATCTACGGGAAAAGCACATTTTTAATAATTAATCCAGGTATGCATTTGTACTTTGTATGAAGTGTGGGATTTCTCTGAAAATTAAGATTTTGTTGAACTATTATTGAATATTATAGCCATAGATAAATAAATATTCTTGTATATCTATGGGCATTGGACACAGCTTTGACTAGTCAATTAAATAGTCACTGTTTATTATCATCTTATAGTTTATCATTAGATATATTGGCTGGGAAACTATAGTTTATCATTGGATACATATAGGGCTAGGAAACTATAGTTTATTATTGTATATATGTAGGGCTGTGAAACTATAGTTTATCATTGTATATATATAGGGCTGGGAAACTATAGTTTATCATTGGATACAAATAGGGCTTGGAAACTATAGTTTATCATTGGATATATATAGGGCTGGGAAACTATATTTATCATTGGATATATTTATATGGCTGGGAAACTATAGTTTATCATTGGATAAATATAGGGCTGTGACAGTATAGTTTATTATTGGATATATATTGGCTGGGAAACTATAGTTTATCATTGGATATATATAGGGCTGTGACACTATAGTTTATCATTGGATATATATAGGGCTGGGAAACGTTTCGTAAACGATTTTCAGGTTTTTGAAAATCACCAAAAGATTCCGATAACCGTTCTTTAAAAAAATAACAGAAAATGAAGACAAATGCGTAAAAAGTACGCCAATTTTGTATTTAAAAACTGCTGTGTTATAAAAATACTTTCTATTTAAGACATCTCGTCCTCGCAAGTTTATCCGTGCTCGAGGTTGTCAATGAAAACGAGATGTATCCGCTGAAAATATTTAAAAGATGGCAGTGGGATATTCCAACAGAATAAGGGTCTCCAAAGATAATCCGATGTGACTTGGTGTCTGCAATCAAAACTTGGTTTTCTGCAATGAAAAATTGGTGTCTGTAATGAAAACCAGAAATGTTTACAATTAAAACTTGGCTTCTGCAATGAAAATTAGGTGTCTCCAATGAAAACTTGGTGTCTGCAATGAACACTTGGTGTCTGTAATGGAAACTTGGTGTCTGTAATAAAAACTTGGTGTCTGCAATGATTACTTGGTGTTTGTAATAAAAACTGGGTGTCAGCAATAAAAACTTGGTGTCTGGAATAAAAACTTGGTGTCTGCAATGAAAACTTGGTGTCTGCAATGAAAACTTGGTGTCTGCAATAATAAGTTGGTTTCTAAAATGAAAACTGGTTTCTGTAATGAAAACTGGGTTTATGCAATCAAAACTTGGTTTTCTGCAATGAAAAATTGGTGTCTCCAATGAAAACTTGGTGTCTGCAATGAACACTTGGTGTCTGTAATGGAAACTTGGTGTCTGTAATGGAAACTATGATTCTGCAATGGAAACTATGTGTCTGCAATGAAAACTATGTGTCTGCAATGAAAACTATGTGTCTGCAATGGAAACTTGGTGTCTGCAATCAAAACTTGGTGTATGCAATGAAAACTTGGTTTCTGCTATAACCACTTGGTGTCTGCAATGAAAACTATGTGTCTGCAATCAAAACTTGGTTTCTGCAATGAAAACTATATGTGTCTGTAATGAAAACTATGTGTCTGCAATGGAAGCTTGGTTTCTGCCATGGAAACTTGGTGTCTGCAATCAAAACTTGGTGTATGCAATGAAAACTTTGTTTCTGCTATTATCACTTGGTGTCTGCAATGAAAACTATGTGTCTGCAATCAAAACTTGGTGTTTACAATGAAAACTATATGTCTGTAATGAAAACTATGTGTCTGCAATGGAAACTTGGTTTCTGCAATAAAAACTTGGTGTCTGCAAAAAAAAACTTGGTTTCTGCAATGAAAACTTGGTGTCTGTAATGAAAACTATGTGTCTGCAGTGAAAACTTGGTGTCTGCAATCAAAACTTGGTGTCTGCAATAATAAGTTGGTTTCTGAAATTAAAACTGGGTTTATGTAATGAAAAGTTGGTGTCTGCAATGAAAACTATGTGTCGCTAATGAAAACTATATGTGTCAAAACTTGGTGTCTGCAATCAAAACTTGGTGTCTGCAATCAAAACTTGGTTTCTGCAAAGGAAACTTGGTGTCTGCAATGCAAACTTGGTTTCTGCTATAATCACTTGGTGTCTGAAATGAAAACTATGTGTCTGCAATGAAAACTATGTGTCTGCAATGAAAACTTGGTGTCTGCAGTGAAAACTATGTGTCTGCAATCAAAACTTGGTTTCTGCAAAGGAAACTTGGTGTCTGCAATACAAACTTGGTGTCTGCAATACAAACTTGGTGTCTGCAATAAAAACTTGGTGTCAGCAATGAAAATCTGAAGATCTCGGTTGAAAACTAGTCTTATTTTCTAAAGGATTTATGATGCAAACACAATATTGGAAAATATCAATTTTAATCAATTTAAGATAGAAAATCAATGATATCTGCTACGTTATTGATCGGATAAAAGTTTCTAGGGACCTGTTGTGAATTGGGCCGCTCTTTAAGTAGTAATTCAATTAAAATTACGCATACAGTCCTTTTTATGTGCGCTGTAGACGCAACATAAACATTTTAAAGTAAGTCCATCTTCTTTTATTCTCCTTTCAGAGACAGACAGACAGATAGACATGCTGACAGACATACAATACACCTTCATGGTATAATCTGACAGTTGGTAAATATTAGAATAGACAGTTACAACACTCAGACCATTCAACAGTCAGGCTCAATTATATTGTACACAAGATGGTTTAACCCTATTTGGAAGGAGGGGGGGGGGACGGCTTGATTTAAGATTTTCAAAATACTTCACAAAAATATGTACTTTTCAGTGTCTGTCATTATTTGAAAATAAATCTTGTATTTTTTATTTGTCTGAATTGAACTTGTAACCTCATGCTCAGATTTCTTGGCAGTGTTGTTCACTATCTAAGATTTAAGAGTATACTAGAGTGGACGACTAAATTAAATTTTTATTTCAAAACCTAGTTTATTGTCCCGGCTCACTACTTTTTAGTCCTTACTAAACTTTAAGTAATATGAATGATTAATAATCTATGAGAATAGAAGTTTTTGATCTTTTAAACTGCAAATATGAATCATTAATCTCAAAATATTCCACCTCAACCCCTACCATAAATAGTTAAACTCTTGAGAACGTTTAACACGAACGTAAAGTAAATTGCAATTAATATTTAAATCTTTAACGTTTTCTATCTTAACTTCTCTTATTGAAGAGCTATTGAGAACACACGGGCAGCTGTAGTACATTTGAATTTCCGAGCCGGGTCAACTTGTCCGGTCCCAGTTTGTACTGTATCGCTCGGACATTGGGTAAATGAAGCAGACACTCAATAGGACTAGCTGGTGCAACAAGGTTGAAGCGGTCAGACTTTAGGGTGAAATTGCTTTTACTGAAGGGTCAAGGGTCAAAGGTGCGTGAACAATACAAATGTTTTGAATTTCTAATACAGTGAAACCCTTAATAACGAATACATCGGAAGAATTTATCAAATGTCGTCTTGACAATTTTTCAATGAGTTTTATTCTACATTACGTAAATTTCAGTATTTGCGAAAATAAATAAAAAGCTATGAATATGCGGGAACAGTTTCCAAGAGTTCCGTATAATCATTTAATTAAAAAACTAAATATCTGCAACATTCCATTATCAGAAAGTGAAGAATAAAACATTTGATAAATTCTTTCGATGTATTCGTTATTAAGGGTTTCACTGTATATAGTTTCACTGTATTTAGTTTCACTGTATGTTACTGAATAATTTTTCTTTTCTCTATACTAGGAGCTACAAGACCACAAAGTCGTACTGATCATTTGCCTACTGACTTTCTTCTTCAGTTTGCATTGCATGCACGCGAAATATATAGAATTTAGATATTTAGATAGTTGAATATTTTTTGAAAAGTAGATTGATATTTCAATTTCAATGAAGTTATATAAAGTTGGCTATAGCATTTTTATAACTTAGGATGTTTTGTCCCTTCTAGAGAACTGAAATATCTTTTCTTTCTTAAACACTCAACAAATTTTACGTAATAATTGCAGCTGGGATAAACCGCGGTTCATAAATTAAGCGTCCATTTATTTAGATGTATACTTCTATACATACTTGTCTTTAATCAATTTTTCGCCCTTTTCTCTGTGCAACTCATTATTTTGATTATTATATTACTTTTATTATTATTATTATTATTATCATTATTATTATTATTATTATTATTATCATTATTATCATTATTATTATTATTATTATTATTATCATTACCCCCCCCCTCCCTCCACAACCCCCCTCTACTGCAAGTATTCATCCTATGTATTAATTGGCCTCTGAACTGATTCATTCTTCACTAGCCAACTTCTTGGGCTCAAGAATCTATGAATATCTAACTTTTTGTCGGGCTTGGCTCTCATGCCCCCAAAAATGGGGCGCAACGCGCAAAATTGGACTGCGCGCGGCTTGGGAAAGCTCCGCGGCATGATGAGAAAAAGAAATTGCGCACGTTTGAATCTCCGGGATGAGATGGGGTATAAATACGGGGTGAATCCTCCAGTAAAGCACAGTATCCTCTAGTAACTGAGCTGGGATAGAAGTAAAGTCTCCTGACTACATTCTCAAAGTAGGTTTAAACAGTTGTTAAATGTTCAATCATTCCTTTAAAGATTCGAATTTATAATGGCATCTGGTTTTTTTCAAATGATCAAAATTCCATTTGGATTGCGTTATAATGAAAAGGATTTATTTGTTTTTTCTAAAAAGAGGTTTTTAGAAATTTATTAAATTCTTATAAATTATAGCGAAAATATAAAATTTAAAACATAAAATATAATTTATTAAATTTATGGGGAAAATATAAAAGTTTTCATGATTTTTTGGTTTGAAGTTTGGTGATTTAAATATTTGAATCAAAACCATGATAAAAGCATGCACACAGTTTTTTTAAAACTTCTAAACATACATCGTAAAATTGTAATTAAAAGGAAAAAATTTGTGTAAACTAAAACTTTTAAGTAAGATTAATAAACCTCACTAAAAAAAATCAGATTAACCCGCAAATTTAATGAATATCAAAACATGTTTTATTTTCAAATAGGCAGATCCGTTTTTGTCCCGAATAAAAATTAACAGGTGGTATCAAAACATAAGGTCTGAAACATGAGGTCTGAAAAGTAGGCAATAATGTGTTGACTAGGGATATAAAATGTTATTATCTGCCTCTAATAATGTGTTGACTAGGGATATAAAATGTTGTTATCTGCCTCTAATCTAAAAAAAATTCTAGATGAAGTTGAATCTGATAATTCTTCTGTCCCTGGCAGTTCTGCTCTCCGTCTTTCTTCCTGCCATTGAAGCCGCTGCCAGCCGTCTAGCTGTCCGCCGAGGCCGGGCCCGACCAGCCTCGCCCGCTCGCCGACCTGCTCCTCGTCGTATGATCCCCCGCCGAGGCCGACAGGAGGATCCAATGGCCCCTCCTCCTCTAGATGGTGAAGCAGCTGATGCTGGTAGTGATATCCCAACCTGGTGCAACCCTGCTGACCCTATGGGAGCCTGGCTGCTCTTCAAGGTAAGATGGCGCAACTACTAGTTTTCAGGGGGGGGGCTCATTTTAATCTGAATAATTGGGGACATTCCTTTCTAGATATTACTTTACATTAACTAACATTTCGTGTAAAGGAGTCTTTAAATGCACTTTTTATTTTCAGAGGAGGGGGGGGGGGGAAACACACTTTAATCTTAATAAAAAAGAAATTACAAATCTTAAATTTTAAGCTTCACATTTACGAACTTTTGTTTAAAACTAATCGCACAGTGTTTAAAAAAATTTTAAAATAGTAATTTGTTATACAAAATTTTATCATTAAACTTCTTCAGTGAAAGTTAACTTCAAAATGGGCTTAAAGTTCCAACGTACGAGCTTAAGAATACTTCTTAAATTGATTTTTGGTGCCAATCATTCCCTTCCGTAGTCCGTAAAGCTCAAAAATGTAGAAACGTATACATAAACAATGTATAAGGAGCATAGTAAACTAAAGTTCATGAAATATTGCATATTTTCAAACAAACTCCTTTTCCTAAACATATATCAAATTATTTTTTAATTCCTAAAATTGCTTTTTGACGTAAGTTAAAAATTTGAAGGAAATAGAGGTCGTAAAGTCATCCCTGTAATCGCACATTTCGCCGGATTGTGATGACGGAACTTCAGAATTATGCAGACTGCACTAAACATGCCAAAAATTATAAATTGTGTTCCCCCGGTTCTGAAAAATGTAAAAAATAATTGAAGTCTTTATTGAGATGGAATAATGTAAGAATTGTATTCCCGTCATGCACTGCATACTTAATGTGACATTAATATAATATTACATAGTACAACTTTGTCACTTCTAGTTTTGATTTTCTCCACAACACATATTTATTCTATTAGAAATTTTTTTTTTGTTTATCTCAATAGCATTTAAAATATTTGAATCTTAAGATTTACTTTAATTCTAAATAATCAATTTTCTGTTTTATAGGGTGTGAAGCTGAACTGTGTAGAAAAGGGATTTGAGGATTTCGGTCCCTACGGCGGAGTTCCGGCGGAGGATGAAGAGGCGGCGGAGGGGGAGAATGCTGTCTAATCAATCAATCAATCGATCAATGCTTTAATATAACTCGACCCTTCGATAATCTCTGCGAAGATATCGTGCCAAAGAATGAAAAACAAAACAGTTTAAATTTTTAATATGATTAATTCTCAAATTTTAAGAAGGAGAGTTTCTTTATTTCTCTAAACGCTGTGGTATATATGAATTTATTTTCAATAAAAACTTTTCAATTTAAGACTTTTTCTTCATTATCTCGTAGACTTTTTACTCACTGTTAGAAAATCCTAAAGCATTTCTAAATTACGAACTTTTCGATCAAAATAATGAACAGAATTTAGATATATCTCACTATTTCTTATATTACTAATATTCTGTTTATAACTTCGAACAAAATTTTCGCAATTTTGAAATGCTTTCGGTTATAGTTTACTATTATACGATTAATATGTTTTTTTTTAAACATTGTACAGAAAATTGTGGTATAGGTAGACCACATTTAGCCTCAAGTTCTTTTAACATTGTACAGTTTGAACCAGAAAATTGTGGAATAGGTAGACCACATTTAGTCTCAAGTTCTTTTAACATTGTACAGTTAGAACAAGAAAATTGTGGAATAGGTAGACCACATCTATTCTCAAGTTCTTTTAACATTGTACAGTTAGAACCAGGAAATTGTGGTATAGGTAGACTACATTTAGTCTCAAGTTCTTTTAATGGTCAAATTTGAATGACACACAGCAGCTGCAGTGCTGTCTGAATAGACACAGTTTAATTAACAAGTGATTTAATAATTTACTTGTAAAACTATTTGCTTTGCAACAACATCAAATACAATTAGCTGTTGCTTTAATGTCGTCTTCCTATTCCACGGTTTTCTGGTTCTCATGTACTTAAGTATAAATCTCGGTAACTGTTAGTATTAGAAAATTAACTTCAAAATTAAATCTAATTCAACAATTTTTCTTCAGTCAATTTCCCCAAAAATATTTGTATCCGCCCCCCCAGCACTTCGCACCCCCCCCCCCTCTCCACAGCACGAAATTATAACAGTGAGTTTGACGCCTGCGAAAGCTGTGGGAAAAAATTGAAGTATTTTGTCTCAATATTTTAAACTGTTGGAATCTAACTGAACGTAATATTTTAATCTCTCATTTATAATCCGGTATATTATATATATACATATATTATGTAAAGTATAAAAACCCTAGAAAAAAGTATAAAATAACAAATTGAAAAATCTACATTTATTGGATGAAAATTAGTTCTTTAAAGGTTAGTCTCAGTGGACGTTTAATCCTGTTCTCTAGTTTACCGCGAATCACTCTAGTATGCCGAGTCCATTAGCGCCCGATCCAATCAGGGTTCAGTCATGTGTTTGTTGTCTATTCTGAACCAATAGAAATAGTATGGCGTAACAACTATCTTTCTATCTATCTCATTATCCAATTAGAGTTATGAATCCTTTAATCGGCGCTATCAGTAAATGGAAATATTTACTTCTACTGAAACTATTGTGGAATGAAGCACCTCAGCAAGATTCTTAAATTTCATCATGAATGAAATATCCTAGTTTTTCTAGCTAAAAAATAATCATTTTTAATCGTGTGGGCTCATTGTAGAATTAACTTGTAGATTCAGCAGCAGTGTACACGTAATTTCAAGTGGTCTTACTTTGAAAGATTGGCATGTCCGATTCTCCATGGTATCCTTTATTAACTATTTATAACACGGTTATTTTGGTGCGCAATGCTATAAAGTTTTTGGACAGAAATTTTTCTCTTTATTGATAAGGTTCAAGTTTTTTAGATTTAATTTTTTCCCGATCTTTAGCGAGGGACAAAATACAATCTAAAATGGCGAGATTCTTCGAGACATAGAGAAAATTTAACTCCAAAACTTTATAGCAGGTCGTTCCAAAAAAATAGTGTTACAGGTAATTTGATGCAACGTTTGTGGACTTGTCTTATTTTGATGTAATGGCTGTTTCTAGTTCAAATAAGCTTTGAAGCAAAGCAGAAGTCAAATAAAAAGTTGATTTCAATATTATTTTTATTTCAATCGAAAAAAATATTTTGGAATTATACTAAATTTTTTTGGAGAAAATCCGGGAACCAATCAAAACTTTATAGCACGTACGTGCATTTAATGTACAGTACAGCTAATTCAACTTTATAGCACGATGATTACTTTATAGCACGTTCATTATGAAATTCACGATGAAGTGAGTAGTAATGAGTGAGTACACAATATTTTCATAAAAGATATATCAAACAAGTTAAAGAAAAAACGAAATTTATTCTATAATTTGCTGGTTCTCACTGAATTATTCATCAAATGTAAGATGAAACAAAAAGCATCTATTGTGTATGAAAAAAAAACGGTAAAATTAAATCTATGTGAAATAATTGAGAGATTTCAAATATTTCAAGGAATAGGATGTTGCAATATATTATTGCATGTTGAAACACAATACACATTGGCAGGTTGCAATTAAAAAGGATGATGCTGACAAAAAATCGAAAAAATTTGAAACTTTTGTCCCTTTCGAGAAAATGTTGCGTTACATAAAGGAATCTCAATAAACATGGGAATATTTCAATATATTGACTTCTATAAGCTCTATTAACTTCGAAAGCTAGATGTTGGGGAAATTGCTCAATTTGGAAAGGCATTCTTTTTTAATTAACGCCCATCTTCTGACTTTTTGATTTCTGAATTAGCGCAAAGGAATTGAGTCCTTGGCACAAACTCATATTTTAAAATTCATTTTTCTTTGCAACCTGATGGTATAAACCTTTACTATTTCAAACTTAGATTATTTGATCTAACCCAACTCATGGTTTGAAATATCTAAGATACATGACATTGGGTTGCAAAGATATAGGGATTTAAAAATCAGAGTTAGTTGCAAAGACTCAATTCCTTTTGTTATCTTGTAAATGGCATTCAAATTTTATTTTGAAAGTTTGAAATCTTTCATGTTTTTAAATCATTTTTTTAATGAGTTGTTAAGCAGTTCAACTCTAGCTTTCTCATAGCAGGACCTAGGTCTTTGCAGAGGCGTTTCTAAGAGTAACTAGGAAGACAGGGAGACAGAGAAAAATAGCAAATCCAAGTTAAACGTAAGGTATGAAGAGAAATTGATGAGGAAAACAAGATAATCAACAAGGATTGCCTGCATTCATCTGTCAACGGTGTATTACCCTATAGAGAACAGAGGTGTTTTACCTCTCTGGGTCTAGGTTTGCTGAAAAACTCGACTTGCACTTCTTAGACACAGGATTTGTAACCCAGTTTTTAGGTAAAACCTATAACCGATTGGGAAACATGTTAATTTCCATCAACCACAGATCCTCGTAATGTGGAGAAGCATTAAGTACAGTATAATCTACAAGTACTGCCCAAATTGTTCTTACACCTCAGTATCAAGAGTCCAATACTAGCCAAGACACATTTTATCAAATTTGTCATTATTTATTATTATTATTTTGTGAAGATTCTGACATTGGGTCCTTCAAAATTTCAAAATTCCACGTTTGGTGCAGTGTTCCTATTTCTTTCCTTCCCCTTCAATAGAGCTAGGAAACATTAATTGTGTATAGATCTATATTTAGTAAAGTCAACATTCAACAATCTACAAACCTGCTGGGATAGCAAATTCTAGAAAACTTGCAAGGATTATTATTTTATTATTGTTTGTTCATGACTTCAGCGCAGTGTCAGCAGCTGAGATATTGAATTTAGAAACAAACAATGAGCTGAACTTCCTTGCAACAAACCAGAAATATCAGATAGAATTAAAAAAGAAGCAGAGATTAGCAGAATTCAGAATCAATGAATAGATAAGAAGAATGTACGGACTATTTCTAATACCAACTATTTTAAAAATATCAAAAATAAATGTTGGGGTGTTGTTTCTTTCTTGGGGTTTTCGGGGAAGGGTCCCGGGGACCCAAGAATCCCAAAGTGTGAAAAATTGGTGTGCTGTAATACTTTTAAAATAAAATTGTACAAGTTTGTAATTTTCTTTTATTAAAACCTTTTAAAAATTTACAAAAAAATTGTAAAAAAAAGAGTTGATAAGAGGAAAAACTTTATATGCTACCCCAATTTCTTATTAAAAATGTGTTTATGTCTGATATTTTCTCCTTTGCTTCTTATATTTCAGAAATGATCAAGTCACTTTTGCAGAGAAAACACACAAGAAAATAAACAAATAAATAAAGAAACAAAAACATAGATATCTGATTCATACTTGTTCAGACAATGATTTTAAAAGGATAAACGTACTTTTTATATCGGGAGTTGCCCTCTTTACATGACTTAGTTGGTCCCTTGATATTGCGCTGTTAGTCCCTCTAATAATTTCATTACTTGCCCCCCACACTCTTATTTCCTCATCCATATCATTACAATCTGATGTCTGAAATTCTGCTAATTCTGCTTTACCAAAAAGTCAAAGTTTGACATATCTAAAGTTTTACACCCAAATTAAGTAAAATTTAAGTAATCTTTAGGTTAGAGATTAAAACCTTACATGTTTCCAATCATATCTCATATAGCAAATTGAACTGCACCTTATTGATAAGAACAAATATGTTTACAAAAAAATAAATTTCGCCTAACATTGACCATCTCCTTTTTGTTAAGTTAAACGTGCATTGTAAGGTTACAAAGATATAGGGATTAGAAAATTAAAACAACAAATGATTGTAAATTAGTGAGGTTAAAATCCAAAGCGAAGACGTTGCGACATTTCGAAGACGATAGCCGGACGTTTCCCCTTCTCTTCTTGGCGGCAAATTACTGAAACTGCAGTCACGGCTGCTTTTTTAATACAACATAATTTCTTCAATATTAGTGTTGATACGAAATTAACTTAAAATTACAGTGATGAATAAAATAAATTATTTATTATTTGTAAAAGATAATTTAAATTGCATACATCAAAAGAATTTACAATTAGTTTAAATCTTAAATTTCTCTCAAGAATTCTTGCCGATTGAGTTGGCTTCGGATCTGTCTTTTCTTGTCTTTAAACTAAAAAGGACTTCCCTGCAGTCTGTACTTCAGGCTGGTCAGCTGTAAAACTTCTTAACTATCGTTCAGTTTGGTTGCAGTTTGTGGTGGGTTCATTATTCAAAATTTCATCTCAGACATTACAAATTTCTAAAGGAAGCCTGGGGGGTTTTCTGAAGCTTTTGGTTCCCTTTCCAATTTAAGTGTTCTCAAAATAATTCTTGGAGAATATTTTTCCGCATTGTCCCCCCAAAAAACAGCAAGGTTCTTTCCTGACAATTATTGAAAAACTGGATATGTGTAAAATTTTTCTTTAAATCAACCACTGTACACTGTACATGTGTTTAATGTATACAGTATATATCCAATTTATATTGATTTTTGATTTTTTGTGGAATTTTTTTTTTAAATATGCAAGTCTCGGCAAATCTTAACAGAAAATATGTTCGTTTCAACAAGTTACCAGAACTGTAAAATCAAGCATTTGCCGCCAAGACAAGAAGGTGAAACATCTTCGAAGACGACTAAGTCTTGAAAAGTAATGCATCTTTTCATTGCTGCAGTCTGGATCTATATATGTCCTAGCTACAAGATAAATAAAGTTGTCAGGTTTAAGCTATAATTTATTCTACTTGAATTGACAAGACAAGATAATATATTCTAAATCTGTCAGAACTTTTTAAAACCCGTTGCTTCAGGTTTTTACCTCACTCTGTCTTTAATCGCGCCAGTATGGCTGATTAAGAAAAGAATTGAGCCAAAAAGTACTGAGCAAGGACTGGTTTATTTAGGAAATATGTCTTTTTCTAATTGGATTGCATTGACCGATGGAGGGTCATTTTAAAAATTCGGAACTTAAATACATTTTTTAAGAAACAATGACATCCATCTCGTTCATTCTTTGGAAGACATTCGAATAGTTGCAAAAACTTAAAACATAACAATATATAATTAATTTTTAACATATTAATTGATTCAATAAAAGATAAAGAGAAGAAAAAGATAACAGCCAGATTTAAGAAGGGAAAACTTGGAATTTTCTTTAAAACTTTTGCGATGTTTTAAAAAAGTTGACTGGGGGATTTTTTGGTACAATTCTACGGGGTTTTTGGTAAACAAGGGGTTTGGATTTTTAAGGTTTGAATACTAGGTCAAGAGTTTACATTTTTGACCGGTACAAGGGCAGTACGGTTGCAGTACATGTTGTAAGTTGTTTACTTCATGCCAGCAGCTCCTGAAAACAAGAACAATTCAATATTTTGTCAGAAATCATAAAAATAGAAAATCATTTATGCAGTGTGCAGAGAACCTCAGTTCTATGAAAAAAAACATAATAAAATTTAGAAATCTTTGGGGTGCACAATTATTGGTTTCACTATCTAACATCAATATTTGAATCTAATATGCATTCCTTTTTCTAGTATTATGGGTTTCCTTGTACAATAGAAATTGTATAATATCCACAAAACCAAAAATAATGTTGGTATAAACGATAATTAAAGATAGCTAGTCATCTGAACCTATCAGTGTAAATAAAAATATTGAAAACAAAATCATTATTAAAAGTAAAACACATATTTCGATCGACTTTTTTTGGCCAAAAAAAATTGATTTCATTAAATCATTATGTCTAATAGTCTGTATTATATTCTTTAAACTTTTTATATAATTATTAATGTTTAAAAAACAACTATACTTTTGCCGTTCCATATTTCAACGTTGTTGAAAACAAAAACAAACAGAAACACTAAATAAAAAACTATAAAAAATAAAATAAAACAAACACGTGAAAGAAAGTATAAAAAGCATATCTATTTATCATTTTGTGAACAAATTTCAAATTCGACCTCAACTATTTCCAAGAAAATAACAATGAATAATTTGTTTTTCATTCATGCTAAAGTTATGAAAAAACAAAGCTTTGGATGCTTATAGAAAATAATACTTTTTTATTTCTTGCGTCTTTCTCTTTTTGTGACAGTGTCTCCAGAAACTAAAATAATTTTGTTACAAAATAAAAATTTTCTTTCACAATTTGTCCATCTTGATTAAACTAATATTACAAAAGGGAAACCTCAAACGTGTAAACTTTCTCTGTCATTTGGGAGAGAGCTTTTTTAAAAATTTGTATAAACCAAAATAACCCTTCCTGAAGAAATATATGATTTATAAATTTTACAAGGAATTTTTTTATAATTTCATTGGAAAGATTCAACCGTAGTGAACATTTTTTTTAAATCTTCATTTTTTCAAAAGTCATTCATATTGTTATAAAAAGTAATTCCCCACAATTTTCATATATACACACAAAAAAAATGAAAAAAAAATGTTGCAAAGTTCTCGCATTTTGAATCTTATTACAATTCTAGAAAAGGGTTATAATGAAATTTGAAGAATCGGGCATATTTTTCATTTGATTTTAAACATTAAATCATCAGCAAAAATTTAAGGAACTAAATCAAATGAAAATGGTATAAAGGTTTGCGCTTGTTTAGCTATGGATAAGTTTTACTCTAATAGTGACATTAATCAGATATAAAGTATAATCGTTTTTTTCGATTTAACCTAAAATTTAAGTGAATGATGGTTTTCAATTTAATTTAAGGACTTAATTTTAAGTGACCCTCCATTTAAAAAAGAACATGTCTCATTCACAACGGTTCCTTTAAAACCTTGATCTGATCAATATTATGGAAGATATTGTCGCTTTCAATGCCTTGAAAAGTTTTTAATTCCGATAATTACTTTATACTTTCCTGGAGTCACTTTTGTTAAGAAATTAAAATAAAAAATAATCAGTTTTCAAATTTATCAACATGGATATTTAATTTACTCTTGATCAGATACTAGGCATTTCAAGTTACCGTAGTATAATCGTACATAGTATATTCCACTTTACATTTAAATGGAAGGTTGCTTGAAATTATGTTAACAGTCCCTTATAATGTCTGAAAACGAAATAAAAACAATCCCTTTTTCTGCTACGAAGTCTTGTATTCCACGTCTAGACTATTTGAAATCTTTCAAAGACGAAAACATTTTATTCGTTGGTTCGACCCAAATATCTCTACAGGGGTATAACTCTCTACACAGAAAATATCACTCAATGAATTGTCTTATTTTTTCATTGCTATGATATTGATAAATTCATTTCTAATTACTTTAATCAGAAGAAATTTAGACGTTTTTCTTTCTGGGCCCTTCAATCGCTGAAATAAGGTTTTATTAAAAATTGTTCATACACAATTGTAGCTTACCAGTTCACACAACATATGGATGTACATTTTTCATTTCTTTCGAAAGCTACACAAAAATCGAGATTGAAATTTTATAAAAATATTCTGTAAAATTATGACAAAGATGATAAGATCTGTTAAAAAAAAAAAACTTCCCTAATGTAGAGTTTTTAAATTTCTCAGATTTTTGTCGCGGAAAGATTGATAAACGAATGTTCGACGATTCGAAACAAAATATCCACTGCGTCGAGAACCAAAATAAATAAATTTCACCTTTATCGCTACTATGATAAAATCACCTTATCATGGCTAATATATTAAAACAAAAACAAATGTGGAAAGACAACTTTAAATGCGCCGTTCAAACATTTTTAATAGGAAGACGACTTTAATACTTAAGTGTATATGATGGTGTTACAAAGCAAATAGATACTTACTAAGTCACTAATTAAGTGAAATGCGTCTGTTTACACTGCACGATTGCCGTGTACATTGATTATTGGACTGTTCATAATTAACTTAAGTCTTATAAGTTGTCTTCCTATTTCAGAGTTTTCTGGTTTCCACTGAATGTTACAACTTTAACTTAACATTTTTTACGTACAGGGTGTCCCAATAAACATGATATTTCAGTGACGAATTCAATATCGTCTTTGTTTTGAATTAGCAATACCTGATTTCAAAAACATAATATTATTACGTCTGCTAGAGTTTATTTTATGAAAACGGCGAATGGCTGTAAAGATGTGTCTATATTGTCTTTACAAGTTGAACAGTGAAGACGGACAAGTTTACTCTGTTTGTATACTGCAATTTTCTTGTTTTACTAAGTAAAACCGTATGCAGTCAAAACATAAACAAACAAAATGTGAACATAGCAGACGAAACTATTACAGATTACAGCTTTCTCAGTAGGTATCACGTACTAAATCAAAGAATTATTTGAAAAGACGATATTGCATTCGTCACTGAATTCCCATGTTTATTGGGACACCCTATACTCGTCACGAAAAATCCTTGTTCATGTAAAGAGAAATAAATAAAGCTAACATATGTACAAAAAAATAAGAATTTCTAGACTATAGTGCAATAAAAAATCGACAATACTGATTAAAATAATGATAAAATAAAATGTATCTTGTGTGCAATGTGCATACTCAAACTTCATGCTTAAGAGCATAGATTAATAACAATACAGATAAAACACTAAATGTCGTCTTTTCAAGATGTAGGTGTTTTCGTTCACAATAACCCTGAGGCTGAGACCCAAAGGAGCTATGCGCATGCTCTCTCTCTCTCTGTCTTATATTTCAACGCTGTCTGCGCGGAACTCCTTTGAGCTTCTGCCTCAGGGTTGTTGTGAACAATTAACTCATAAATCTTGAAAAGACGACATCTAATATTCTATCTGGATTGGTAATAATCTATGCTTAAAAGTTTTAAGGACATTAAACTACTTTATTCAATAGAGAAAAATTTAATTTAATAAAATCGTAAAATTTATCGAGTTTCAGTGCGTTCATGTGTGGGTAACTCTGAATAAAAATATCGTGCACACCATTTGCCAAAATAAGTCCTTAAAATTGCTCAACACACCATTCTTGTTCTTTAAATCCAATTTCCCTGTTTTATCCGCGTAAATTTTCGCTTGAAATATTCTATATTGCACCTGGGGATTTCCACAAACCTCCATAATCTATTTTTTCATAACAGATAGGACACTAGATGTCGCTTTTCAAAATTTGGATGACACACGTTCACAATAACCCTGAGGCAGAGGAGTTCCGCGCAGTCGACTAAGAACAGACTCTCTCTGTCTTGTATTTCTACGCCGACTGAGCAAAACTCAACTGGGCTTCTGCCTCATGATTATTGTGGACGAGTTTCATCCAAATCTTGAAAAGACAACATCTACTACCCTATCTGTTATTTTCAGTAATCTATGTATTTTTTTTTTTAAATCGAGACGATACTCAAAAATCCGAGTTTTCGGCACAATCGTCATTTATCTTACCATGCAGTAATCCAAGCCAATATGTTCCTGATAAGGTTGAGGGTTACAGTTGAGAGGATGTCTAGGGGTGGTTGAAGAGAGGGGGGGGGGGGTTAGTTAATATTGAATAATTAGAGGGTCTTCTTCTTGGTCATACCAATATTCTCAACTAAAATCAAGGATGCATAATATATTATATATTTACTAGCAGGTGTTTAGAATAATGTTAATCCTAGATTTAGGGACTGTAAGCGTAATTTCAAGTCACCCTCTATACAAAGAAGGCAATGCCCGAGTGATAACAATACCCTTGTAATCTTTCCTATCCATTATGTGGACAAAAATCATCGTTTTTTAATTTTGGTAATTCTTTATCGTTTCCCTGAAGTTGAAGTCATTTTTATGAAAAACCCCGAATTACTGAACTATTAACATGCATTCTAAGTTGTATTTGATCAGACAAAGCTTTTAAGGGTAGCATTGTGAATCCGGCATTGCCATCTTTGCATGGAGGGCCACTTGACATACATTTAAGAATTCCCTTTAAAGGAACTGTGTACGTAAAGTCAAGATAATACCCCTAATTAAAACTGACCTAATATAACCTGAAGATTACATCTGATAATTATTTCTTTTCCAAAGTCAATTTTATAAAAATCAGCGGCTGAAGGTTAAAAAAGTTTTAGCCCAGCAAAAATATGACTTTTAAAAAGTAGGATCAGTAAAAAAATTACGTCCACAGTCCCATTAGTCCTTGATCAATCACAAACGAGTCCCTAGTCTGAGTAGGGGTTGGATAAACAGGGTACAAACATCATTGGTTAGTAAAAACACACATTTAGTTTAAATTTTATTAAATACAAAACCATAATATTGATAACTAGTACATAAAGATTTCGCTGATGCAAAAAGATAGAAAACATTTCTGATCGCAACAGTAGTTGACGCCTGTGCGCAGTGTGAATAAACATTTAACTATTGTATTCATATTAACTTACAATGGCCTCATCATTAGACTTTTTTTGACACATTTTTTTTAGATATTACATAAGATAACCTAACCAACCCAAAATTTCATTATCAATTAATCTCATAAAAAAGCAGGAATATTTCTCAATACAAATAGATAATTTTAATTGCGTATGTGGGAGAGAGAAATTGTAGTTATCACAAATATAAGAAATGCATGAGTTACAATTCACTAAAAAATTTAGAAAAACTAGTTTCAGGGATGTTAGTTAACTAGCTAAACAATCTTGAAACAGAACCAAACTTTTAAACATTTGCGAAAAAATCAGATTTTTGAAACATTAAGCAAAAAAAGATTGGTTTCTGCTTCAGTTACGTGTTGTTATTGAACACAAAAAATGTCGTCTTCTTAAAACATGACGAGCACGGGAAAATTTGTGCTTTCTGAAGTGCATGCGCAGTATTCCTCTTAGAATTTTAATATTCAAAATTTTCACAGATTTCAATACTAAATAGAGATCACGGAATCTTAACAGTAATTGTTAATAAATAAATCAGTTTCCGCGCGGGGTTTATTTTGAGTTTACACTGCACCATAAGTTGCACAAAATGTGTCTGCTTAAAGAACGTCCTAAGCGATTGAGAGGGAAAATAGCTCGTAAACGATTTAATCTCTCAACGCGATTAAACTATGATTGCTGCTTGCTCTCCGCAATGCCGCGAATAATATCTATCTCGGAAATGTACCAAGCATAACCGTATGCCGCAAATGCGACAAAAATTGCGAGAAACTCGGCCCACCTACTCGTCAGGTGGTTCTTACCATCGGCGTAGTTCCTGGCGACGCATTTGAGAAGCTCGTCGAGTAGTATGACAGGGAGGGAGAACTTCATCACGGTGATCCATTGCTCAATGGACAGGGGGGTGATGTTGAACACAACCTAGAAAAAAAATTGAAAAATCAGCCTTAAGTGCCAACAACGTTTGACTAATCCAATTATCTTTAGGGTTTTTAAGTTCAAGTAAATATAAAAGACTATTGGGAATATACTTACTTTCCAAAATGAGCTAATTTATGAATTAAGAGAAATTGGTTTTTTTTCCACTTTTAATTCAGGAAAATAAATGAATTTTGAGTTGGGAACTTTAGAATGGTGGATATCCGGATTAATGCTTAATCCTCTCTTTTTGCTAACATAATCTCGAGATTAATTATTTAGATCAACTAATTTGATTCTAGGAATGTCAGATTTGTTCGTTTTCTTGACTAGAAGGGCCTTCACTGAATTTCTCACACATTTATTTATAAATACGTAAGTTAAAATTAAATAAAAAAGAATGTCAAACGTATATTTACATATTTTTCTTTATCGATTAATTTACAAAATGGCCGACAAATTGCGGAGGTCTCTCATTGGATATAATTTATTTTCAAGGCTGTCAATGGTTAATACAATTTCCGAACTATATTCCTGCACTCTCATTGGAGAGAACAATGTACGGATATCCAAAGAGAGAAAAAGAGTGGATTAAGGACTAAAATTAAAAGTTTCCACAATAAAGTTCTGACTGATTTAAATAAAAATAATTTCCCTAAAATTTGATCCTCCAGTTTTCTAGGAAATACTTACATTGAGGAAATCTACATAGAGGATGAGGAAATGAAGAGAGAAGGAGAGAGCCATGGCAAGAATAAGCCAGATGTTGCACTACAAATATAACAAAAAATTAAATCTATATTATCAATTATTTTGATCATTTCTATTTTTATTATTGTTGTTAAACAATTTTATGTTTAAAAAATGTAGAAGACAATATTTAAGCAAATAAATTTAAAAAAAAAAATTTATTTGTAGCGTATAACTAAATAAGAGTGAAATGAGTTCGTGTACACTGCACCATCGCCGTGTTTAAGGTTTATTTGACTCAATGTAATTACAATCTATATCTATATATTCTTCATCTTTAAGAATCCCACTTTTACTTACCCATGGAGGCATGACAACAAGAGACTGGTTTTCTGAGCAGGAGTTGAGAGCGTTAGCCATCTCAATGGTGACAAGGATGGACAGGGCCATGGTCATAGCTTCAGGGGCCTGAGAAATAACAGTTTGTATTAATATATAACTAATAATAATAAGCACTGAAAAGTTTCTAAGTGTAAAAAGGACATATAGCAAGAAAGGATATAAAATATAGTAAAGATAGAAAGGAATGAATGGAATGAATGGAATAAATGGAATAAACGGAATGAACGGAATGAAAGGAATGAACGGAATGAACGGAATGAACGGAATGAACGGAATGAACGGAATGAACGGAATGAACGGAATGAACGGAATAAATGGAATAAATGGAATAAATGGAATAAATGGAATAAATGGAATAAATGGAATAAATGGAATAAATGGAATAAATGGAATAAATGGAATAAATGGAATAAATGGAATAAATGGAATAAATGGAATAAATGGAATAAATGGAATAAATGGAATAAATGGAATAAATGGAATAAATGGAATAAATGGAATAAATGGAATAAATGGAATAAATGGAATAAATGGAATAAATGGAATAAATGGAATAAATGGAATAAATGGAATAAATGGAATAAATGGAATAAATGGAATAAATGGAATAAATGGAATAAATGGAATAAATGGAATAAATGGAATAAATGGAATAAATGGAATAAATGGAATAAATGGAATAAATGGAATAAATGGAATAAATGGAATAAATGGAATAAATGGAATAAATGGAATAAATGGAATAAATGGAATAAATGGAATAAATGGAATAAATGGAATAAATGGAATAAATGGAATAAATGGAATAAATGGAATAAATGGAATAAATGGAATAAATGGAATAAATGGAATAAATAGAATAAATAGAATAAATAGAATAAATAGAAAGAAAAGAAAAAAAAAGAAAAAAATAGAAAGGATAGAAAATATAGAAACGATAGAAAGAATAGAAAGAATAGAAAAAAATAGAAAAAAATAGAAAGGATAGAAAATATAGAAACGATAGAAAGAATAGAAAGGATAGAAAGAATAGAAAGAATAGAAAGAATAGAAAGAATAGAAAGGATAGAAAGAATAGAAAGAATAGAAAGAATAGAAAGAATAGAAAGAATAGAAAGAATAGAAAGGATAGAAAGGATAGAAAGAATAGAAGGATTAGAAAGAATAGAAAAAATAGAAAGAATAGAAAGAATAGAAAGGATAAAGCAAGAATAGAAGGAATAGAAGGAATAGAGGAGAGAATACCTGGAAGATCTCGCAAGAGATCCCCTTGAAGTCCTCAGGTGATCCGTAGCACTGCATGTGATGAGAGAGTTGGTAGAAGGACATCTGGGGTCCGGTAGGATCATACATAAACCAGTAGGCAGCTCCTCCTACAGTAGCAGCACCAACATAGGTACCAATAGCCATGTATCTAAACATACATCAATGAATCAATGAAGGGAGCAATTAATTATTCAATCAATAAATCAATGAATGTATCAATTAATTAATAAAATCAACAAATTCATGGTATGATTTTGAAGCAATTTGCTCCAAAAGAAGAAGCAGTTTCTTAGGAACCAATAACCACGTATCTTAACATCATTCAATCAATTAATGTTAGTTAATCTTGAATATCCAGCAAGAAACACTGTGTTTATGAACAAAATGGTAAGACAAGATTGTTGCATTTTCACTGATTAATTTGTTTTCTAACCAGAAGACTTGTGTATTTCAAGAACTCGTAAAAAGATTACCATAGACCAAAAAATAAGGAAATACATAATTTTAGTAGGGCGGGGCACTACCTGAAGAACAACCAGGGGGTGATGAGGGTCTCGTTGGCAGAGCGGGGAGGTTTGTCCATAATATCAAGATCTGGGGGGTTGAAGGACAGAGCAGTAGCGGGCAGACCTAGATGGAAAAATAAAGATGAAAACAAAAATAAATTAATAAGAGAAATTAGTAGAAGTAGCTGGATTAAAAATAAATAAATAAATAAATAACATAAATTAGCCGACACACAGGGGTATGGATTTTTCAGTAAGTCATAATTCTAAGATAGATTTTTAGCTTCCATAAGATATTGAATAGTCAATGGGTAAATCTTTAGATTTATTGTTTTCGAGAATGAATATTTTGTTCTTAAGAAAAACTACAGATTTCACCTGCAAGTTAAAAATCGACAAATCGCTTGGCGGATTTTATCATGAGAAACTCGGAGATTTCTTGAACGCGGAAAAGTTCTTACCGTCAGTGACCAGGTTGACCCATAGGAGCTGGACGGGGATAAGAGCTTCAGGGAGACCAAGAGCAGCGGTGAGGAAGATGGAGACGACCTCTCCAATGTTGGAGGAAATCAGATATCTACACAATAGTAGGATAAAGGTCAGATCATTAATTAAGTAAAAAAGAGCAAAAATTACGAAATCGAGAAAATTCGACAAGCCAAGAAAAATATACCCTAGCCTCCTTCATTTGACCTTTCAACTTCATAGCAGCCCCCCCCCCCCATCACAAGATGTTACATGGACTCCATTAAGTACCTGATGAACTGCTTCATGTTGTTGTAGATGGCTCGGCCCTCCTCAACAGCGGCTAAATTATACAAAAACTAGATACAGCAGAAATGGACATTTTTAGATTTAAAAAAGACGACATTTTAAATCTATTTATCATAATTGAAATATTCGTTTTTACCAACAATAGAAGTGAAGTTATCGTCAGCAAGAACCATCTCAGAGGCGGACTTAGCAACAGCAGTTCCTTTGCAATCATCAATTAATATAAAACAATCAATAAACCAATCATCAAGTCAATCATTTAATCAATCAACGTATCAATCAAAATTAGGATAAAATATTATGTTATTAATTATGTTAAGATGAGGAGGTTTATGCCCCCACCCCCCCCCCCCCACTTTGTAATTTTCATCCAAAATGGGAAAGGGAGAAGTGGGGGGGATTCTCCCTTTCACGAATTTTTGTTTAGTTTGTCAAGCTATGAAAACATGTTTTGCAATAAACACAGGTAAACATACATTTATCGAGTTTAATAACTCAGGGGATTCAGGAGAAACAGGAGGAGAGGGGGGATAATTTCAAAATAGGAAAGGGTATTAATAGATAGGAGGAAATTGGGATTATTTATGGGAAGGGAATATTTATGTGTGGGGAAATGCATAATTAAGGAACTCTTGTATTGAGTTGACCTAAGTCTGACATGCATTTCAAGAATTCTAACTTGAGACCGGCCTAGAAGTAAGATCAGGGATAGAAATAGAACACGGATGAAGCCAGGAGAAGAATCAGGGGTGTAGCTAGGAGAAGAATCAAGGGTGTAGCTAGGAGAAAATCAGGGGTATAACTAGGAGAAGAATTAGGGGTGTCGCTCGGAATATAATTAGGATTAGGGGTGTAGGTAGGAGAAGAAATAGGGATGTAGCTAAGAGAAGAGTTAGGAGTGTTGCTGGGATTATAATCAGGGGTGTAGCTAGTAATAGAATCAGGGGTTTAGATATTTATATAATCAGGGGTGTGGCTAGGAATATTATCAGGGGTGTAGCTAGGAATATAATCAGTAATAGAATTAGGGGTGTTGCTAGGAATAATTAGGGTTGTATCTAGTTATTGAATAAGGGTTGTATCTAGTAATAGAATCAGGGGTGTAGCTAGGAACAGAATCAGGATTGTAGCAAAGAATAGAATCAGGGGTATAGTTAGTAACATAACTTGGGGTGTAGCTAGTAACATAACTAGAAGTGTAGCTAGGAACAGAACTAGGGGTACAGCTAGGCATAGAATCAGGGGTTAAGCTAGGTATAGAATCAGGGGTTAAGCTAGGTATAGAATCAGGGGTTAAGCTAGGTATAGAATCATGGGTGTAACAAGGAATAGAATAAAGCGTGTAACAAGGAATAGAATAAGGCGTGTAACAAGGAATAGAAATAAAGCGTGTAACAAGGAATAGAATAAAGCGTGTAACAAGGAATAGAATAAAGCGTGTAACAAGGAATAGAATAAAGCGTGTAACAAGGAATAGAATAAGGCGTGCGTGTAACAAGGAATAGAATAAAGCGTGTAACAAGGAATAGAATAAGGCGTGTAACAAGGAATAGAATAAGGGTGCAGCTAATGCTTTTACTTTAAAAGTGTGCATAGAAAACAACCAATACTTATTTAGGGGCCAGGAAAGAATATATAAAAAAATTAATCATTTAAAGGTATTGGGTTAGAAAATAAGATTGACAAGGAAAGTTCTATCTTAAACATTCCTTAATCCTTCCCTCGAACAATTTCTAAATACTTGAAATATCTGCAATCACATTTAGTTCCGGTCCATCCCCCCCCCAACTCATGACAATTAACACAACAAATAATCGAATAAGAAAAAATCTCTAATTTGTTAAATACCTGATCCCATAGCGATACCAATTTCTGCCTTCTTGAGGGCAGGGGCGTCATTGACACCGTCACCGGTCATAGCAGAGATCTCTCCCATGGATTGCAGATACTCAATGATCTTGGACTTGTGGAAGGGTTCGACACGGGCGAACATTCTGGAATAAATTAACGTTTTTCAAGTGAACTTTTTACAGAGTTTCTTCACGGAAAAATGTTGTAGGGATTGATTTTGATAAATTGTGGGCAAAAAGTTAAGTTGTTTTTATCCTTCATATTACTTTCATTCCAATTATTTATCAATTTAACCTAAAAATCTTTATAATCCCCAATTAGAAACAAAAATACAAAAAAAATTACTCAAGATTTTTCAAGAAAATATACACCCATGCGAACTAAACAATAGCGAGTTTTCAATACCTTGAGTTAGCAACAGCCATCTTCTGGTCATGTGGGGACAGATCATCAAATTCGCGGCCAGAGTACGCCATACCATCAGTACGCTCATCCTTTTATTAATAAGGATGAAGTAAAAAAAAATGCATTACAAATATATAAACTACTTATTTTAGATGAAAAATGAGGTTTACCTCTGTGAAGATGCCAATACGTCTGCAGATAGCTTCAGCGGTGTTCTTATTGTCTCCGGTGATCATGATAACACGGATACCAGCCTTGCGGCAGGTAACAATGGCGGGCTTAACCTCAATCCTGGGGGGATCCAACATACCAACAACACCGACAAAGGTGAGATCGACCTCGTACTCGACAAACTTGCCGGCGTTCACGAGATCCATGGTGCTAGGGTTGACAGGATTGTCGTTGGTGGCAAGAGCCAGACAACGGAGAGTGTCGCGTCCAGTTCCGTATTCAATAGCACGGTCCATGATCTTTTGCCTCATCTTGTCGGTCATAGGTTTCTTCTCAGCTCCAATACGGATATGGGTACAACGATCAAGGACTCCCTCGGGTGCTCCCTTGACGAACATTTTGGGTCCGTTTCCGAGTCTGGTGGGCTTCTTGGGGGTGCAGTAGCTGGACATAGATTTCCTGTCTCTGGAGAACTCCAGGGTAAAGTCCTTGCTCCACTTGGACTCCATGTCCTTACGGACAACCTTGGCGACTTCAAGACGGCCTCCGCTCTTGGAACAGGAATAGGGGTTTATCTTCTCGGCGAGGGTGATGAGAGCGGTCTCGGTGGCTTCTCCGACCTTCTCGAACTGGTTTTTGAACTCGTTGAAGTCAATGGCGGAGTCGTTGCACATGATAGAAATGGTTGAGATTTCCTCTAGGGCAACAAAGTCGCTTCCCTTGATTCTCTTGCCTCCCTGGAAAACTTCTCCAATGGGTTCGTATGTGGATCCAGAAATTTCAAACTCCTCAAAGTTGGACTCGTCCTTGATGGTGAACATCTTGCAGACGGACATCATGTTGGTTGTAAGTGTTCCGGTCTTGTCAGAGCAGATAACAGAGGTGCATCCAAGGGTCTCAACAGAGGGTAGGGAACGGACAATAGCGTTCTTGGCAGCCATACGACGGGTACCAAGAGCAAGACAGGTGGTGATGACAGCGGGCAGACCCTCGGGAATGGCAGCGACGGCAAGAGCAATGGCAATCTTGAAATAGTAGACGGCTCCCTTTATCCAGGATCCTCCATGGGCGGGATCATTGAAGTGTCCAATGTTGATGGCCCAGACAGCAATACAGATAAGTGTGATAACCTTGGAGAGCTGTTCTCCAAACTCGTCAAGCTTCTCTTGCAGGGGAGTCTTCATCTCTTCAGTCTCAACCATCTCAGTCCTGATGCGACCAATAGCGGTGTTAAGACCGGTACCGATAACAATACCACGAGCTTTGCCGGCAGCCACATTGGTTCCAGAGAAAACAATGTTCTTCTTGTCCTGGTTGACGGCCCTGGGATCGGGGATGGGCTCGGTGTGCTTGATCACAGATACAGATTCTCCAGTCAGAATGGACTGGTCAATTCTGAGGGTGGTGGAGTAGATCTTGATTAAACGGAAATCAGCGGGAACCTTGTCTCCGACAGAGATCTCGACAATGTCTCCGGGAACCATCTCAACAGCCTTGATCTTCTGGACACCGTCCTTGTCGGACCTGATGACCTTGCCCATCTCGGGCTCGTACTCCTTGAGGGCCTCAATAGCGGACTCAGCATTTCTGTTCTAAATATAAAGATGATGAGAGGCAGGTGTATAGCAGGTAGTTCTACAAGGATACAAGGACAAGCTCTGCTGAATAAATAGATTAGATTGCTGAAGCAGGGATTTACTCAAGTTTGCCCAGTTCACCTGGGCTGGGGACCCAGGAAATATTCTGTCCAATCAAGAGCTAGACATGATAAAATATTTATGATCTGAGAAAAAATGCGTGAAACGGACATGACATTAATCACCTGGCACATAATCTTTAAAACTTATGGCACATTTTCAACTTATACACAAGCTTTCCGTGCTAGAATAAGTGACTTTAACCCCCCCCCCCCTTGCCTCCTAACCAACGCTTAAATCCAGATTTTAAAAAAAACTTTTAAACACCCTCTTCGCATTGAGATCAAAAAAGTTTCAATATTTTTTCCTCTCGAAAAGGTGCTTAGAACTAGATCGACCTCCTTTTTTAAATGACTGGCCAATCAAAATTTAAGTGATCCTAAGCACTGCCCAAAGATTAGTAAACGTGAAAAACCTTCAAAAGTTACAACTAAAAACAAGCATTTCAATTCTGTGTACATTAACACTCAAGAACTCATTTTGACCTTCTAATATTCAATTACGTCATTGCATATACCTCTTACTTACAGCTTGTAGTAAAATCCCTTATCTTAATTTTATTACATTATTTCCGATTGTATGAGAGCTAGGAGGAAATCAAAGTTATCAATATGTGTGCTTTCATCGAGACATCAAAGGCAAATAGGGGACAAACAAATAATATCGCTTTAATATTATCATTAGTTATTTAAGAAACCTTTATCATTGCTATTTCTATATTAAACACTAACTAAAAGTTGCAAACAATTGTCTGTGCGACTTAATATCAAGTTTAAATAAAATGTAGAAAATGTCTTATCAATAAATTGCTAAAGATTGCTAACGATTGCTTAACATTAAGATCAGTTCCTTTTCAAACAAGTATGATAAATAATGTGGAACATATCATAGCTTAAATTATGCTTATCTTATTCACTCTGCATCAAGCAAAGGTTTAAAAAGGGTATCAATGTGATTCACCCTCCTACTTGATATTAAGTTTACAGCCCCTTTAACTCAGGTTTATCTCACACAAAGAACAATGGTCATTATGAAGAAATACAATGGCCAGGATAAGAATAAATATTCAAAATAAAATGTTCTCCCCCAACAAAATAAAGCTATAAATTGCGTCAACTTTTTAAAATGTCTCTTTGTAATCTCACATATTCCAAATTTGGAACTAGAAAAATTATAATTTTCCAACAAATATTTTTCAAACAATATATTTTAAACAATATTTAGAAACGGTCACTTCTAGTGACGACATTAGACCTTGAGAAATGTTAAATCCTTGAATATTTTACAGTTGCTAACCCAAGGAATTACAACTGCAACATTGCTACGACGTCAAGCCAAAAAATTTCCACAAGAATTAACATTTTCATTCTTAAACCCAAAAGCTTAAACTTGCATTAAAAGGCTGACCGCAGGAAAAAAACGTTCAAGATCTTATTTAATCATTTAAATGGAAACTGCAAAGGCAAGACAAATCCAGATAAGCTCTTTAGAGCAAAGTTAATACTTACAATTTGTACAGGTAAGAACCATCATTTGAAACTTATGATGTTATATTTTAAAGTTTGAGTTAACCCTTTAACATTAATGGTTTTCTATTAAGTAACAGGAAAAGTAACGAAAAGTGAACCTTCATTTCTAGAATAGCAAAATTTATAATTTGCGGCTGTGGTTTCAGTGAAAGATACAGTTTTGAGGTATTGTTACAGAGATGGGTAATCCTTGTTAATCGGAAATACCTTTCTATAATAAGAGGGTCACTTAATTTTCGTTTTCTGTCCCTTTAAAACGAAATATTCAACTAACCTGCCAAACACCGACAATGGCGTTAGCGATAAGGATAAGTAGAATAACGAAAGGTTCGACGAAAGCAGTGATAGAATCGTCATCTTCAAAAAATGCCAGAATCTAAAACAAAAAATTAAAAGTATCATGAAAAGTATATTTTATCTACGTCATTCGAAGAATATGCATAAAAAGGTTGTAAAGTGCTGGGACACAAAATATATCAAAGTCCGATCGTAAACAGCTGTAAACTTCATGAATTCAATTAAAGATACTATAAAGTTAGAATTGTATGTAAATAATAAATATGTAAATTTTCCCCTCACCACCCCCCCCCCATATAACCCCGTTCAGCTCAGATGTAGCACATGTTCCGCTATTAACAACTACCAACCCCTTCTCAAATAATCAAATATTTTTTATTAGTTCTATGTTAAATAGTTTTGCGATTAAACTTCTAAAAATAACTAAAAAATAGGAATTTTGCGACTTTAGATAAGACGTATCTAGTAGGGAGTGAATAGGGGGGAGTGAATTTTAAAATTTCCTCACAGAATAACGGGGATAGTCATCCAATCTAAAATTCATTTCTAAGAACTATTTCTTTAAGACACTTATTGATTGGATGTCGTTTTCGTTAGCTTCGTCGCTGTGATGATCTTGAGCAAAGTGTTTAATTTTTGGAAATTCACTCCCATCTAGTATCGAGTATATATCATTACAAACATGTTGGCATTACTTTTATGGTCGTGAATATTAATTAACCCCCCCCCCCCTCTAATGAATTCGTAGATTTAAAAAATGATTAAATTGAATTCAGATTAATATGCAATGGCGACAGAGAAATTAAGGCTTCCACTTTTCCTGTATAATCTAGAATGCTTTTTAAATCGAAAATTAACAAGAAAAACTACTTACGAATGAAATGATAGCGGCGAGTAGAAGAATTTTAACAAGAAGATCATCAAACTGTTCAAGAATCAACTCCCAAAGTGTCTTTCCCTCCTCTACTGGGAGCTCTAAATATGTGTGTTATTAAAAAATTACCAAAAAAATATGTTTTGTTTAATTCAGTTCAGAACTTGAATATTAAAAGTAACCGGAGGTCAGAATTGAAAAAATCGCGAGAAAAGGTTGAACAGAGCTGACAATTGAATTTTTAAGAAGAATTTTTAAGTGTTCACAGTTCAGAATAAGCGATCGATATTAAACTTATCAAATTCTGAAGTTGTCAGCTCTAATCTATTAAAAAAATAATTCAACTATCCTTGTCTAGTTGAAACATTTCTCACTTTTTATTAATTTCGACATCAGAAACTTATTGGAAGTTTTCAATTACTAAGAAGACTCTTATCTGAAAATGAAGGTTTCAAACAAAAACGTCAACTGGCGCAATTCGTGAAAATGTTAGCGCTTAAAAAATTGGTTGAATTCAAGTTCAGACATTTTAAAAAGAAGATGAGCATTGTAAATTACAGAATTAAACAAATGATGGTATTATAAAAATAATAATTATAATAATATTCTAAAATCTGACCGTTAAGTCCGTATTTCTTCTTGTTTGCCTCAACTTGGGATGGGGAGAGACCTCTCTCCTCATCGACCTTAAAACAAGAAAAATATATTTAAAAACTAAAGCGTCCCCCTCACACTTAAACTTGGGGGGGGGGGGGGGGTAGGACTTTTTAGGTGATAAGAAAAATAGGATTTTAATTTTAGTTGATAATCATCCCTCCCCAACCCTTATTCTAAGAACAACAATTAATTCTTAGCGTTTTTAATCACTTGATGGGAAAAATAAACAATATTCAGATAAAAATGGGACAATTCGCCAATTAATGTTCATACACATTCTTCAAAAAAAAATTATTTACATAAATAATAAAACTATGAAATAGGATACTCAATTTGTAATATTGAATAATCCAATAAATACAGTATTTGCGCAGCACACACAGACCCAATAAATTAATTTCTTAACTAAAAACTATTTACTTTTAACACCATTAACAATTTTTAAAAAAATATTGTCTTCCTATTCCGGAGTATCCTGGATGTGACTGTATACCTGGAAGTGTGCGGTGCACTCCTCCCAGGTTTTCATATAACCATCTTCCATAGTGGGGACTGTTCAGTTCCCAGCCAACTAGAAAACAGCGGACTTTCTTAATGAAACTCCTGTACCTGAAATATATAAATACTATCTATCTATAATAAATATATTGTAATAATCTGTTTATTTGTAGGTCCGATCATAACTGAGGAACCATTTGATCGAGTTGGCTTTAAATTTGATTGGGGATCTCTGTAGAACCACAGGAATGTTCTTAGCTTGGATTCATTTAATCTTAAGTTAAGCGGTGTAGTTATTTTCATACAAATCTGGGTTCCCAAGCTAGTACTCAAATAAAGGAATGTTCACAAATTTAAATTTCCTAGAAAAACGCAATTTCCCCCCATTGCTTTTATATTCGAATTCAATCATAAGTCTCAATGCTTGATACCGACAATTACAAGGCATAGCGCTACGGAGGACACGCAGGGGGCCGAGCACCGAGACTAGAACAAAATAGCGGACCGGGCGTGATCTGTGGCCGTTTGTAACATTTTAAATTAACTAAAAAATTAATGCCGGGAGAGGAAAGGGGGTGTTCAAAAGGCGTTCTCCCCGAATAACAAAAAAGAAAAAGTTATTGTGAAGGCGTTCTTGCGACGGTTTAAGACAAAGCATTTGAATCCTATATGGAAATACCACATTCGATTAAAATTCAAACTTTTAGGTTCTTTCTTCATTTTAGAAAACATAATCACATTCCTTCTTATTTCACAACACGTAAACACAAGGAAATTAGCACTATAATAACTATTAGAATTACATAGAACGCACTAATAAAGAGATAAGAGAAAATTTCCATACGACGACAAGCGAAAAAGTCATGTTATATGATTTGGTTTGGCCTTAGAACGCTTGATGCAATTGTCAATTAATGAATGTGTGAGCTTCTGATTGGTTAGCTGGTGCCGACCAGCGACCAATCAGATATCAGAACCGGTTTAAAGGGAGCAGGCTAAATCTTCTTTACTTTTTTTCAAATAATGTTTTTCAAAAATTTAATGAAATCACGGAGATTTTTAAAAGTATAATTTTTAATCTAGGAAAATATATAGAGGTGAATTTTTAAATTTGTGAAAGTCGTCTTTAGTGTTCAAGCCAAAATTTCACAAATGGCCTGACACGACTACCAAGGTTTACGATTTCTAGAATATTCCCAGGCTTTAGTCCTAATAAATTATTCCTATGTCCTTTACCTAACCTCAAATGTTTCACAACTGTAATTTTATAATGGAGATGCAAAAAGGCCAAGGGAAGGGACATTCTGAAGAACTTTAATTTATAAGTAAGGCAGGCAGACTAAAGGGGGGGGGGGAGGCAGCGGTAGATTACTTTTCGAAGAAGCATCACCACCAACAATGGGGGGAATGGATGGTTAGCTTATTCCCCCCCCCCCTCCTATGGTTTTATGGTAAATTAAACAATTTGGCACAAAAATTGAGAGATTCAAATAAAAATTTTAAAAATTCTGTTATTTAAAATTCTATTAAAAGAATGTTATATATTTTCTTTTTGAAGACGAATTTACAATTAAAGAGAAAAAACAAATTCTTTATAGCTCGACTTTAAATATGAAAATAAGTGCTTAATATATATATCTAATCGTTGAAATAAACACAAAAATTTTGATGGTCATAAACAAAATAAAAATAAAATGTAATAATGTTAGAGATAGCTCTCTCACCACACACCTTACACTGGACTTGCTGGGGCACAAGTGAGGCTGGATATAGCGGCCGGTCAATACCTCTACCTGGCCGCCAGGGGGCATAATCTGCTAACCTCACCTGGCAGTCAGGGAGCTTAATCCACTCACCACCTGCTCAGCAGGATTTATATTTTTTACATTTTTACAAATATTTTTAGCACAAGTTTTAAAAGTTTTAAATGTTTAAAGTGTAACATTTTTACATTTGATTTTAGGAAAATGTAAAATTGTTACCTAGAAAAATCTATATTTCCTTTCTCATTTTCTAGGTAGAGGGCGGCCATGTTTAAACAGCTGACCGTAACAATAACTAGCTGAGCAGGTTGGGACGTTTCACTTATACAGAGTGTCTTTCGAAACATGCCAGATGAGACATGACTTGAAAATCGTCTTAAATCCTTGAAATTATTTGCGGCATTTATTCGTCAACAGTAATATCAAGCCTTCTCTCAAATGCCCCGTTTTGTGGGACACCCTGTAAACCCAGGCAGGAAAATACATTCCAACAACTTATGTTTTCATGGCCTTTGAGAATTTCCTGTCTATCTGTTTGTAAAGATAGACATAGTTTTTACAGCAATATGGTACGAAGATAAAATGAGAGAATTTTACTCTCTATGATTCTAGAAATAAGAAATACTATTGTTGATCTATTTTATATTGAATATAGTTGTTTTTTGCTTCATTTTTAAACAATACTTTTTATTTCATATATCATGGCTTAACAGTTGAATCTGAAATGTTTAACATGATTAAAGAACTTTTCTCTAAAAGATTGTTTAAATTTAAATTGTACAAAAAATGTAATGAAACCAAAACATTTGGCCTTTATTTTTTTTTGTGAGAATATAAACATTTTGCACAAAAGCTATGCTAAAGAAAATTTAAAGAGCATACAATTTTGAAGAACTATAAACCTCTCACATTCTTGAAAACCCTTTTAAAATACAAAAAAAAATAGTTTAAAAACGATGTCTATCCCTAACTCCTGGTAGTTTAGCGAATGGACAAAATTGAAACATTTGAACACCTGATACATATGTAGGCATGTTGATGTTTAGATAACGATGTTTAGACCGAACTTGACTTTTGAATGATAGTTTAACAAATAGATAAAGGAATTGAGTCGCTGCCACACACTCAAATCCCTTAATATTTCCAAACGTTCAAATCTGCAGAATTATGCTTCGCAATACTAGGCCTGTGACATCAAATTGCAATTCAGGATTAGAAAAACAGATTTAAAATTCGGTGATGGTGATGGACCAAACCTCTGTAGAGCAAAAAAAAAGTAGATGTTAGTTCCACATTTATTGAAATTATATTTCGGTCTGGGTTGACTTTTGTCAGTTCTTGCTATTGTTCCTGTCATGAGGATTCAAAAGAACATTAAATTATAAACATAAGACTTGTATAGAGATATACAGATATACAGATATACAGATATATACAGATATATACAGATATACAGATATGCAGATATGCAGATATACAGATATATACAGATATACAGATATATACAGATATACAGATATACAGATATATACAGATATACAGATATACAGATATACATATCTCATTGGTCGCTTTTGTTAATTGTTTGTAAAAATCTATATTCTTGGCATAACAGGTAACACTAAAATGTGCATTCAAACTAGGGTTTCCAGCGAAACAGAAAAACTGTTTCACAAAATTTGGCTTTCATCTGTTTCGCGAAAAAATGCAAAATATTCGCGAAATAAGAAATTTGAAAATTTCGCGAAAATTTCGCGAAAAACACTAAATCTGTAAAAAATGATAAATTTTTGCGAAAATTCAGCAAAAAAGACAAAATTTTGAAAATGCCATACGCATATTTCGCGAAATTTTTTTCCGAAATACGAAAGAAAATTTTCGCTTTTTTCGCCAAACGTTTTGTTCGCTGCCCGCTGGAAACCCTAATTCAACCAATAGAGCAAGTGAGCATACAGGGTTACCCACAAAGGATAAGACTTTAGAGACGATTGTAAGGAATTTGTTCAGCTTTTTTCTTATTACCCTGCAGCTGCTTACTTGTTTTTTCTTATTACCCTGCAGCTGCTTACTTGTTTTTTCTTATTACCCTGCAGCTGCTTACTTGTTTTTTCTTATTACCCTGCAGCTGCTTACTTGTTTTTCTTATTACCCTGCAGCTGCTTACTTGTTTTTTCTTATTACCCTGCAGCTGCTTACTTGTTTTTTCTTATTACCCTGCAGCTGCTTACTTGTTTTTCTTATTACCCTGCAGCTGCTTACTTGTTTTTCTTATTACCCTGCAGCAGCTTACTTGTTTTTGCTTTGCCGGATCATTGAATATACATTTGAAAAACTTGATTAAGTCCAAAATAAACTGCCAAACCCATAATATTCAAAAAGTTTCAGGTCATCGTTAGAATCTGATCCTTTGTCACGGTTAAGTCCGGTTCATTTCAAGAACCGGACTAAAATTTAACCAGCTAGTGCGAGTACACATACATATTATACCAGGCAAAAAGGGACAGTACACTAAATAAACGAGACCCTTCTATCGAAATTCATGTGTTGTGAGTCCCCCTGTATACTGAGGAGGAAAGGAGAGGGTGTAGAATGACTCCTGTTGAAGTACAAGGCCGGTCAGATTTACACCTCATGGAAACTAAACTAGCTGGCGTCATAATCTAGCAGGATTTTACTAAATATTCCTGGAAGACTAAAAGGTTGAACAATCTAAATATTAATGTATGACGCCACACTTTTTCTAATATGTATCTAAAAAATGTATTTTAATAATTTAAACAAAATTTGTATTAACAAGAAAAATTATCGTCACTAATTATTTTCAAAATGTCCCAAAACTGTTAGCGTATATAATATTTGGGCCAGTTGAGTTTGACATTGGCAAAACGGATTCTTTGGTCAAATTAAACCTAGAAAAAATTTATAAATTTAGAATACTCTTAGCTGTGGCGATTTCAGAGCTTGGTTAGGTCAAACCAAGGGAAACAACATGATATATTTTTATATATTCGGCCCGTCTGAAAAGTTGATAAACAAAATTCGTAGCTGTTTGAATCGCTTTACGGATTTAAATACGTCATGCATTTCGGGACTGAGAACTATATTTCTGGACTGAGAACTTTATTTCCGGACTGAGAACTATACTTTCGGACTGAGAACTATTTCCGGACTGAGAACTATATTTCCGGACTGAGAACTATTTCCGGACTGAGAACTATTTCCGGACTGAGAACTATATTTTCGGACAGAGAACTATTTCCGGACTGAGAACTATATTTCCGGACTGAGAACTATATTTCCGGACCGAGAACTATTTTTCCGGACCGAGAACTATTTTTCCGGACTGAGAACTAATTCCGGACTGAGAACTATATTTCTGGACTGAGAACTTTATTTCCGGACTGAGAACTATATTTCCGGACTGAGAACTATTTCCGGACTGAGAACTATATTTATCTTGAATGATATGTTTGGGTATATGTATAGTGTGTATATGTAATTTGTAATTTGGGACACATGTACATTATAAATGATGTTCGCATTAATCACAAAATAAAAGAGTCAATTGGAAATTTTGCAAGTTTCTGACCCAGTTAAGAAACCTTAGCCTTTTAGGAGTTAATCGAGACCCATAAGAGTTCTATCTAATGTTTCTGTTACGAGAATTAAATTTGTGTCAAATGTATGCGAAAATTTATATAATCAAAATTGTGTTTAAAAATCGTGGGTTTAAAAAGATCATATTGAGCAAATACGGAACCAATCTGAAAACGACGATATCCCATGGAGAAGCCTGAGAAACTTATGTTTCTATCTATAACCCTTTTCATTTTTCCTTTACAGTCCCTTTAGTCTTTTTCAAAACAAGAACTTTAGAGTGTTTTAATATAAAAATAGATAAATAGATTTTACAGATATAAATCCGTTAAACATTTATAAAACTATTAAAGTCACAAAAGGCATAAAAGGATGTCAAAAATGTTGTAAATAAGTTATAACCTTAATACGCTATAATTCATTGACACACATAACATTTTTAGAAAAATAAACTAACATCAATTAATAATTCACTTAACTTTTTCCCCTCATAACAAAATTAATTTTTTTTTAATTTGACAATTATGATCTAATTATATATGATTAAGATATATAATAATATTAATATCTGTATAAATTGAGAGTTTTCAATAAAAATATATAAGACAATTTAAATAAAATGTTTTTGTTGAATTAGCTAGATTTAAACCTGGTTAACTAGGCAATCACAACTTTTATTAGAAAAATTATTCAAGAAAACAATTTAAGATGAAATGAACGTTATTTTTCACTCACATGGTCACGTCATAACAAATTAATTATCGTACTTTAGTGATAAATTAGCTGAACATGATATGATAGCACAGTTATTAACCATCTCTGGTTTTTTTTGAAACACCGACCTGTCGTTTGACCGTCCTTCACTCTACCCTATGCATAAAAAAAAATTTATAAAAATTTTATGCAAAGAAATTTTCAGAAATAAACACTTTTCTTGTCAAAAAGCATTAATTTCCTCATGTTTAATGGATTCCATTAAAACTCTAAAGCTAGCAATAAATAAGATCTTGTAGACGATGAAAATTCTCAGTTATTGCTTCTAGATATATAAATACTATCAGTGAATAACAAGTGTATTGAAAGAGAGTAGGATGAGTAGGTTTTACAAAATTCGACACTTCTGATTTGCGAATTTTATAATTCTCTTTCAAGGATTTTCATCCACTACATGCTTTGCTATTTCAACATCTTGATAAATCCAGATTGCGATAATCTAAAATTTGTCTTTCTCAAAAGTTAAAACGTGGTCTAAATAATTGTAAAATTTTCTGTTGAAAGGGGCTGTAAGCGTAATTTTAAGTGGCTTTCCATGCAAAGAAATTTTTTAAAAATAAACACTTTTCGTGTCAAAAAGCATTAATTTCCTCATGTTTAATCAGATAAAGGTTTAGAAATGTAAATCAGGTATTTATATCTTGGCATGGAATGTCATTTTAAATTACGTTTACTGTCCTTCTAAAA